ACATACACATACAACGGCACACACACACACTGTGAGAGAGACACACACACACAGACACACACACGTGCACAAGCAAACACACACACACACACACACACACGGACATACACACTCACAGACACACACACACACAAAGACACACACAGACACACTCACAGACATACAAAACTTAACTTCTTGGAGAAGGTGATTATGTTATTAAAACTTAACCAGTGTATACTGCTTACACAGTAAGTACTAACTGATGACACACCTACATGTCGTCCTGCAGTATCTACGTGACGACCGTGTCGACGCTGCTGTGCCTGGTGACCATCCCGGTGTGCCTGGCCATCTTCACCAGCACGCCGCTCATGCACGGCCAGCAGCTCGCCATGGCGATCGACATGATCGCGGTGGCGCTGGTCTGCGTCCTGGTGCCGGTCATTGTCGGCATCCTGCTCCAGCATTACTGCAAGAAGATCGCTGATGTTCTGGGCAAGGTGAGTCAGAAATGAGATTCCGCATGTTCATATTCATCCCTGTCATGAGCAGACGGTACGGTTGCAAATGATCAAAAGGGAGACAACGTTTTGGCCTCTACCAGGCTTCGGGAAGCGGGTAGAAATAGTAGATATTGGTTCATTGGTCCGCTAAATAGTACGGTTTGCCTCTCCCTAGGCCTGTCGAGGGTCGCTGTGTTCTGTGATATTCTTTTCAAGAGCGGCAAACTGTATTTTTCTGCCGGATCCGACTCCCCTGGCTTGTTATCTGTCCATTTGGCCAATTTCTACTGTTTCCAGTCGCTTCCCGAAGCATAGTTGTCTGACCAATCTTATTTGGAGAAAATTTGCTGTGTCTCCTTTCATGCTGACACCTGTATATGCATACCGTACTATATTCATGTGTCACTATACATTTCTGTGCGTTTCTGCAGCTTGCGTCTTACCTGGGCGGCCTACTCTTGATCAGCAGCATAATTGTCGCCACAGTGATCTACCGCGCGGTGTTCCGCGGGCCCACCGGGGTTCTCGTCATCGCCGCGGTCTTCCCGCCCTTCTCCCTGCTGTTCGGGTACGCCTGGGCCGTCGCGTTTAAGGAGGAGGCCGCCGTGGCCAAAACAGTGGCGGTGCAGACTGGCAACCGCAACGTGTCCCTCTGTCTCTCCGTCCTGAAGCTGGCGTTTCACGACAACGTGGCCGACCAAATTCTGACGTTTCCCATCGAGTACTGGCTGATCCAGAACGCCTTCACCCTGCTGGTGGCCCTGCTGTACCACACGTGGAAGACGTACCGCTCCCCCGCCTCCACCGGCGAGTCTCTGCGCATCCTGGGGGAGAAGGTTTCTCAGCACAGCGACGAGGAGGAAGGGGAAGACTCGGACGGGACTTAAAGGCATCTGGTATATATAATTTCATGACGGCAAAACGAAAAAGGTTCTGGAAGAGGAAATCTGTCTGATATTGACATTTCTTTGCACATCATTCGTGTCATCATTTCATACTTGAAGAAGCCCCGAAACAAGCTACGCGAGAAGTCCCTTTATTTTTGGTACCACCCATAAATAGCTAGAACCAGCCAACGATACAAAACAAGCAACCGTTTTCCGACATCCTACTTTTGCCTCACAGATATCTGTATGCTATAGAATAGCGTTCATTCAACTTACTACTTTTGAAAATTCAGTTTTACTTTCCTGAAATCGCTTTGGGTGCCTTTAAACAGGGCCAAGTAAGTAACGCGAGATCTACACCTGACTCAAACTACAAAGATATTACTTCGTCCATGTTGCGTATGTAGGGTATTAAGCCAACATCTGAGGGTTTGTGAACAGGTGAACAGTGCTTGGATATACGCTTCTCATTCACAGGCTCCCCTCGCCATACATGTACGAACGGGGTCTCTTTCCCCGTTCAGACCAGACTTTTATAAACCGGTTGAAACCGCTAAATAATTAGCGGTGAGAAGCCCGGCTAAAACCATCACCGAAGAGCAGCACCAGTGTAACGGTCTCCTTTACGTCTGACAGGCCCCGTAAACGTTGTTGTCTGTACTACGAGACTAAATGTAATATGTCTGTTTGTACTGAGTGTTCAAATGAAAATGTGTGTAAAGTATATGGCGTAAGGCCACAGCACGTAAATTTTATGGATGACATCCTCCGCAGACTCCAAATCTAATGCGAGCAGGCAAAAAAAAACAAGGCGGGCAAAAAAAGGGTTCTTACATTTTAAAATTTTGACTAAATGATTGTACAAATGGTTTTGATTCAGTGGGAACATCACATATGCACAGCCAACATAACATATGACTGCACCAAAGTGAAAAAGAAAACATCAAATCAGAGACTTTTCTTGTCTCCTCTCTTTATAGTTATCTGCCAATCACCTTCCAGCATGGCAACAGACATCTTTGCCCATTTTCGGCATGTTAACCACTGTCAGAAGGCAACAAAATTTCTTTCCAAAATCAGGCGAAAATTAATGCGCGCTGATGTCATCCATAAAAATTACTTGCTGCGGCCTAATGTATGATATTGTCAGTATTGAACAAGTACTCTAGTGCACAGTACGACACCATGTCATTGTGCTGGGGAATCTGTGAGATTCTAAATATGACACAGAGAACATTGTATTCTGTTTTAGTACAATTTTCAGATCAGTGCAATTCCTTCACATGTTCATCTCATTATTGTTTTAAAAGGCTTGTATTTGGTTGAGGCACGGACTATCCAACGTGCCATGTACATGGACATATATAACACAAACTGCAATCTTCTCATGGCATTTGTTTGTTTGTTTGTTTGTTTGTTTGAACATTTGTTTATTTTTAAACACTCAAAGTAAACACAACTGGCTGCCGGTACGGTACCATTCTGCTGCTGGGTGCTTTTCATTGAGGCCATGAGGGAAGAGGTCAGGGTCAGGTGTTAAGTACGTGTGTCCTGTATCATCCCTGTAACTACGTGTAAATGAGTAAAAGAAGATAATTATTTTTATCTTGCGTTTCGTCCGTATATGCCGTATATTCGTGAAAGTTTTGAAAATCTAAGGCCTGCGTTTCTCTTGATTTGATTACATCTGAAAGGAAACAACTAGTCAGCGATTGGTGAGTCGTTCTTGTAAGAAATGAAAAAAAAAAAAATTGTGTGTGTGTGTTGGGGGGGGGTCCATTTAAGTTAAGACTCTGAAACTTATGCTTTTGTGTTTTCACTGATTAAAATAGATTGCATAGCTTAGAATGATTAGAATGCACATGGGAAGAATGTAGCCTCCTTCGCAGACTTGTGCGGAGGTGGCGTTAATATTTTTAGGCGGGGAGCGGGGGAAGTTCTGCCGCGGAGGGACGGCTTTGCCGCCGAGAGAGGTTTTCACCGCCCTACCAAGAATGGGAAAATGTGTACAATCTCAAGCTCAGTAGCAAATAAACGCAAATAATAATAATAATAATAACTTTATTGCGCAACAGTTGCACAGGGTACAGAGTATGGCATCTATGAACTTAAGTAAGTACATATCAATTACATTTTCCTAACTAATACAAAAGTGGGTGGCTAGTATGAGATATCAACTTACACAATCTTTGGAGGAGTTTCTAATATCCATACCGTCTTTAATATGTATCCCTGTATAGCATGTAGGGGTTGTCACAAGTCAATAACGTTATGTATTTAAATTTGCTTTTCAAGTTCATCGTGGTAAATGCTGGAAAAGAATCTGATAGTCTAGTATATAGTGCATTGCGTACATTAATATATTTAGGACACACAATTCGAAAGTGATCTTCGCCCTCAATAAGCTTTGCACAACACATAAAGCATGACCTAACCGGCGTGGTGATGTGGACGAGCATTTCTCCCTGAAACCAGATGACCCATACACACGTGCAACGTAAGAAGTGAGTTGCTATGGAAACGGCACTGACCAGTCATGTAGTGGACTGTAGTGACCATGTCGGCAGTATCGTTACTTTCTCCGTGCCCTTTTCTTCCGAAAGCCTCTATTTTCGGACTAGTTCGCTTCCCTACAGCCGGGTCTGCTCGCCGACAGTCAGACGTTTGGTATCAGACAACAACAGAGAGACTATGTAAGAAACAGGAGGAGCGAGTAGAAACAGATAAAAAAACCCTGGTCCCGGCCGGGGTTCGAACCCACGACCTCCCGAGCACCAGCTTCAAATCCGACGCTCAAACCACTCGGCTAAAAGGCCGTGTCAGTTGGTAGCGCCTATAAACCCCCACCCCCACTGTTACAACTAGACTGCCTGGGAACTGGAGAAGCCAGGTCATGTTGGCAGTCAGCGAGTCGTGTCATTTACTCCCGTGTTCTTCATTTACCTAATGTGATGGTGTTCGGTCGTGCCTGTCATGTCTGTAACATACTCCCTTACTCCCTCCTTCCTGTCTTCAGACACGGACATAAACAATTTATACTTGTTTTCGATCGCACAACTTTGAACATTCATAATATTTAACATTTGAACCCTGCACCTAGCCTCTACCAGGCTTCGGGAGGCGGCTGGAAAGAGTAGAAATTGGCCAAATAGAGAGAGTTTGCTTTGCTGTACTCTCTAGCGAACCAAGTTCCCCAGCATGTTTGATATCTCTCACTATTTGGCTAATTTCTACTCTTTCCAGCAGCCCCCCGAAGCCTAGGCGCCTGGTAGAGGCTATCCTGCACCCAGCACTGTTGCACCCTGGTCCCTGTCGCATACCAGTCAGAACCGGATGTTACTTTTCTGCAATGATAGTTTCCAGATCATCTTTCTGGTAGTAAATTCGCGTATCCCTACTTCACTCGGTACGGACCTTCGAATCCAGTCAGGACGTTTTGTCCTTTAGGTAAACTTAGATCTAAGAAGCTGGAACGAGAACGATGCGCAGTCTTATAACACAGAACACAATGAAAACTGAACGTATAAAATACCATTGCATACAATATAATCTTTCACACATTGTGTACATGTAGAGTATGTAGTACAGACTGGACCGCCACGAGCACCAGTAAGCCGGAGGCTACAGCAGACCTACAGTGGAAGCCACGAATTGTTTCGAATGTCCATAAGTTGGTTCCTCTTTGTTTAGTAAGAAAGCGCAATTTTATACTTCATTGCACCATCTTGTCTGGTCCTTAGATAAACGAGCTGAAGCTTGAAAAAATCTAAAGGAAGACAGAGCCGATCACAGCAGGACCACTGAGGAAAACGTCAGTGGAAAAGAATTCCGTAAATGACATTTACTAATCGCATCATACAGCTTGATAGACATGTTGTGTCCACGGTTCACTAATGACGCCACAGAACAGGTCTCGTCCCCAGGCTGGACAGTTGAGACTCGTCCCCAGGTTGGTCCTGCAGCAGACCGGGAGTACAGTTTGCAAACTACTCCTTTTAACGGACTAACTCCCCAGCTGTGTTATCTGTCTATTTGGCCTCTACTCTTTCCAACCGCTTTCCGAAGTCTGGCAGAGGCCTAGGCAAAGTATGGAGGATAGTAGTTCTTAACCTAAAGTACCTTCCGTCAGATCTTCGTTTGTCATTTTAGTTAGTCACGGTGGTTCGAGGTTTGAAACCAATGTTTCAAATATCATTGCCATACCTTTAACACGTGAATTTTATGTTAGTGATGAAATCTTGATGAAAGCTCCGGGGTGAAATTAACAACATGCAGTGCAGAAACATAGTCACTTAACTGTTATTTACGATGTCAGTACTAGAAGGAGAGGCACTCAACGACGAAAAAAGGACCCCTCCTAGTAGTAGAGTTCTGTATTACACTGTGTTAAAGACCACTCAATATTTCTTAAACAAGAAGTGCTATTTCTGCCCGTGGTTCTAACATTTGGCTCTGCCCGCAACACTTTCCATAACGATCGGATGGCAGTTGATACGTTCTGTGACCTGTGCTCCATATACAGCAGTTTGGCACAAAACGAATTTTTGAGCGGAAAATCTTCATGAAACTTTCATGATATTCAGATTAAACACTCCTGGAGAAGTGGCTGTGGATTAACATATTTTCACATGGCCTGGCACAAAGAACGGATTACAAGAACGAAGTCTTGCCGCTGGGGGGTCGTCAGATGTACATGCCTCAATACAGATATAAAAGTACCCCGCCGTGACGAAATGTTCAGTCATATCTGCTCCGATCTGACCAGTTTTGTCAAACAATTTCGAGTCCCGACTCTGCCCTGTCCGTGTTTCCATCGCGGGAAGTCTGCCTGAAGTCTGACCGTCACTGAGACTTAGGAGAACAGCAGGCTGGAAACATGAACAAGCTTCCCTCGGCGTCCAGTAAGTACAGCGGCAACATTTACTCTTGTTCAGGCGTCCATTCAGAACAGTATTATGAGGAGAAATGTCACTTGAATGTTTGCAGTCATATTAATAGCGACATAGGGGACATAATAAGGTCTTAGAGAAACACATCGCTGCACACCCACCTGATCTACGTGTAAAAAAAGTTTATAGGAAGTTATCCCAAAAGAAAGATAAACTTTGAAATATCTTCCATGATCATGGAATACATTTCCATACGCTACGCATACTCCTGGTCATCAAAGTATTCTGTATTTAGTTAGTCTGCTACATATTCTCCAGTATTTCATCTTGTCTAACTTCGTATTATACCTATCCTGCTCATCACAATGTGTTTAACATGACAGTAAAGATGAACATAATGGGTAATTACTCAATAATTTGTGGTTTGACGTACTGGTAGTTTATCTCATTCGAATTTCCCGTGTTTGTATATTTGTCATTTCATTTGTATATCTTCATGTCGTGACATCTGACTGTACAGTATAACATAATGTTTACTCCAGGCTATAAGCTATAATCTCCATGCAGATCTTTTTGTGGCGGGAAGACAGTATCAAAATGGCCGGGCAGTTACTCGTAGTTACCATTTGGTTGGCATAGAAAAAGGGCCAAAAAGAGCCAGTCCAAAAAGAAAATCCAACACGTCAGAAACAAGCCGAATCCTATACTCTGGAGAGTAGCTATGGGGGAGAGACATGCACTATAGAAATTAAAAGCAACACATCGAAAGTTATATTGCCACATCTCCACTGATACCGACTTTCTCGCCGTCTCCAGGCCGTATTCTCGACATTCCGTGTAAAGTTTGCGGAGACCGGAGCTCCGGGAAGCATTACGGTGTGTACACGTGTGACGGCTGCAGCGGCTTCTTCAAGAGAAGTATCCGACACAACCGCAACTACACCTGCAAGTCTCCCAACAACTCCCCGTGCCCCGTGGACAAGTCCCGCCGGAACCAGTGCCGGGCCTGCCGACTGCAGAGGTGCTTCCAGGTCAGCATGAACAAGGACGGTGAGTCAGCAGACTAGTAGGTAAACCTGGTCCCTTCAGGACCTCGGTTGTTGGACAGTGGCTGAGTGATACAAAATTGAGCTGTTTTATAATGGAACAGGTTATCAGAGGTCACTGTGTACGGTCGGTTCTGTCAAGACATCACTAAAATCCTACGATAAACAAAAATGTACGACTGACTTGTGACCGATCCTTCAGAGTTGGGATTCAACTCTCAATATTTCTACATGTTGTACATCTAGCATCGGGGCAAATGTCGTGTGCGTACAAAGCTGCTTTGATATGGATGGGTTTGGGCTAACTTCAAACTAGAAAGAAGACCATTTTTGCAGTGAAAGCTCAGCATAATACCCAAAGTTCACGCCTCAGTACCTCCCTCTATGTTATGGCGTTCATAGGCAGTGTTAGAACTAATTTTTTTTTACATATTCTAACATTTCATGACCAAACATGGCGACGGCACACTCAAGTTATATCAACACCGCCACCAACACAGGGGACAAATACAGGAGAGGAAAATACTCATTTCCCCGCCAGTGAAGTGAAGAATGTAATGTAGGTTTAGAACTAAATCATCATGAAAGTACTTTGATAGGAACTCTGGTCAAAGACAAAAAGTTTTAGGTTTCCGAAACAATTCTGGATGACGTATCTAAGGATTCTTCAATATTTTTCTAATGAATACAAAGTGAGCTTGGTGTAAGCATCAATATTAGTACTCTCGGTGTGGAAAATGGCGTGCGTCCTTTTCGCGTTTACTAGTAGCTTGATCTGACCTTGAGGACGTGCATACAACATACTAGTATGTAGTTATCAGTCAGTGTCTAGTGACTGAAGCATGCTCCAGTAGTGGGAGACCAAGACTCCATCCACACCAGATATTCATACACCTTCTATGAACTTTATTGCATATGGTACATGGTACAATGTATGTCATCAATAACAATGTGATCAATACAATCAAGTCTATTCTAAGAGACTACTTGTAATACTACAGGAATATGAACGTAAACAGCGTATGACATGATGTGAGTTAGGCGTTGCTATCTGTTACAATACTTTCTCTCTATATACTTTCTCTATTGTAATGCACTACATATATATATTGGCCTAAGTAGTACGTAGATATGGAGTCGGGGCATGACATAAGTAGATTGAAAATGTCTATGTTTGTCTGTGAGAGAGGCTTACCAGTTTTACATGTGATCATTTTCATTAATTTTTGTCTATCTAAAGTATATGCAGGACAGGTCATTATGAAATGATACTCATCTTCAACACTTTCTTGACATGAGGGACATTGGCTCTGGTTAGCTGGTATATCACTATACCGACCTTTTTCTATTGCCAAGTTGTGCCAACTGATTCTTAATTTCTTAATGACTACAAACAATACATAAACAGATGTTTCTGTAGATGCTATCCTATTCACAAAGAAACAAATTATAACGTACTGGAACTTATGTACAGGGACAGGTCTAACGAAATTGTTTCTTTCTGAAACGCACTAACAGCCCAAGATGAAGACTTGTGAGCATTAGAAGTATGGATAGTACTTTACTATCAATTTCATAATCAAACGTAATAATCTGAATGAAAGACCTTTACTATACATTTTTGCTCATTGCGAACTAGTACAGGTCATGGTAAATAGCGATGGTAGACTAAAATATATCTATAGTAACATAGGTTCTGCTTCTTCTCTCTTCTTAAAACAGTTGTAAATGTAAGAACAGATGGAGCTTATAGTACGGGGATTATCGAGTTTCATGAGCAAAGTGAATTTTTCTTTTTTATCTAAAAATCTAAAACTAGGGAAGTGATCTTGTATATAATTGAAGAGAGTATTTCATTATTATATAGAGTACAGTCCACAATAAAATGACTCTCGTCTTCAATCTCATTTAGGTTACTGTAATGACGATAATCAAGAACATATCTTGTAATATCTGTACACATTCGGTAGACATGCGCAACGTTTTATCAACAAGCACATCTTCCCAACCGTCACCAGCTAGAACTATCAGAAAAACATTTATTTATTTATTTCGAAGCCTTTTAGGCCTGCAGGGCTAATCTTCCAAGGCTCAAACATTAACATTACATAATCATATACATGGAAATTACAGTGAATACATTTAAAAAGACATAAATACATTAACAATGAACGCACATATCGATATTAACAATTTAAAAACTAGAGGTTGAGGCTCATGAGACACTGTTTGTGATAGCTTTTTTGAACCTGAGTAGGTTACTCAGTGTTTTATCGTGATATGGTAGATTATTCCACAGCAATATTGCACGATACAGGAATGAACGTTTCTTACTGTTCGTCTTCGCGTTGGTTAATCTGAAGTTACGTTGTTCTGTGCAGAAGATCTGGTATTATGAATCGCCAAGACGGTTTTTACATACACGGTGTGAGTATGTTCCTCGTCTGTTGAACATCGATGTTTTGTCAACAAAACTAATAATCAGATTACATATCTTAAAGGGGAATTTTAAAACGTTTTTTTAACTAAATATTGACAATTTTAATTGAAACAAATCTGCACGTGATTGTCATTTACTTCCACCTTCAGCATATCTGTACAATTATCTCACATTTCTGGTATTCATGGTTGTACTCAGATATCAGTGTTCGTTGGAAAATTTATATCTGAATCACTACAAAAGCGACACCATATTGTTAATAGCTGATATACCCCCTGAACTACAGAATGTAATAATACTCTTCCTAAGAAAACACCTTAGATTAGCCTTAGTATCATTATGGACTAGCTCGTTAGAATTATATTTTAGTATTAGTTTGTGTATGAACCCTTGATGTTTATTTGCCAGACATTGTACCAGCTACAGTTGTTGAGCAATAAAGTTGATTTGATTTTGATTGTCGCTAAAACAGCCCACACGAGGCGCAGTTATTTTTACGGTATCAGCACAAAATGGCAGAATGTAAACAAACATGGCTGACAGCTGTATTCTCAGCTTTTAAACACTCTCGTATGCTATAATACTTTGGCACATCCACTTCCAATAACACTTATTCGCGATGGAGTATAGGGTTGATTTAACTTGACTTTGTAAACAAATGACCAGAAGATTGACTTTTTGTATCGTCCTCATGTTACATAATGCAGCTTTAACAACAGATTGTTGTGAAGCAAACCTAAAAGTTCGACCCCAATCCTCAATGATTTTTTTTATATTCCTATTAAAATTAATATTTATTCATATTTCATCACTAGACATGGTGACAGCACACTTAAGTTATATCAACTCATTTTATGCCGCCACTAACGCAGAGGACGAATACAGGACAAGACAGTACTCATTTTCACTTGAGTTAAGTGAGGAAAGTCGTGTAAAGTGCCTTTCCCAAGGGCACAAGATCGGTGGCATGTCAAGACTCAAACCCGGGACCTCTTGGTTCCGAGTCGAGCACGCTGCCGCTACGCCACACGACCCCACACAATCCTCCATACGGTAATCCTTCTACACCTGGATAGGTTCAGAGTTTCTCAGTCCTGACTCCGTCATTGATTTTTCGAGTTAAAATTCAGAAACAGCCATACCGGCGTATGTACACTTCTTGTAGAAAATTTCATTCGGAACAAAATGGCAAATTCTGATCATCGATGACACACATCAGTATCGAATTAGACAGGTAACGTCAGTGTGGCTGTTACATACAAAGGCGAAAAATATTATTGATAAACAGCAAATAGTGGAACCTTGGATTGGAATGGGGAGTTTTTAGCACCATTGAATAGTTTTTTTTATACACAGTATTCCGAAGGGAGAAAAGTGTTTTTATAATGTCCCTAGTGAACCTGTTTACCAGACAAATGCGCTACAAATATGACAGCACGATGCCAGTGTTTGAAAGGTCCTCTGTGCTTTCCAATTCTCTTATACTGTAAAATTTATGACTGAGATACTAGTACACAAATCTTCTTGGAAGAAAATAGAAGCCAAACATATAATAGTGTAATACATTACTTGTAACGGTACACCGGCACTACACCAAGCACACAATATGCAGTATTAAGCTATTTCGCTTCCAACGATACCACACTACCATACCACACTTACACACTACACGTACAGCCAGAAGCCTGCCCTAAATATTCCTAAAAGTCCTCAAATTTTAGGCAACCTCCTTAAAGTTAAGTTAAGATAGAACTTTTCTGGCACTTGTATGTAGAAACAAGCAATATTATGTAAAATGTTTGCGCCCAAACTGTAGATATGAATAATTGAATTTCTCATCTAGATTGTCATTTTCAATAACTTTCCACATATTAGCGTCACTATTTCGCTTTTCCGGAGACTCAGCGCAGCGCGGGAATAAGTTGCGCCAGGCCAGCTGTATTTTAGGAGGCTTTTAAAAAGAGTGTACACAAATAGCTTTCGTTCAGGTACCTTTGGCAGCTTCAACACATTTTTGCAGCACATCTTTTACTCCACAAATGTCATTATGAACCCAGGTAGGCTTATAGCAAAAAAAAAAAAAAACAAGTGTAAAAAAGTGTAAAACAGCGTTGTTTAGAATAGTGAAAATCTTACATAATATCGCTTTAACATCCCTGGGGGAACATGAAGTACATTCCATTTTGGTCCGAGAAATCATTATTTTGGGCATTTCATTGAAATCGAGTGCTCAGAACAAAGAAGAAAGGTTCTTTGGACTGGACATATTAAAGGCATCCAATGCAGTTTTTAGAGCTTGGAAACCCGTTTTTTCAAAGTCAATGTCTGGTCACTATCCCAATGTATATTGACCCTCAAAGAACAGAAATACCCCGAATTCTGACGAAATATGGTTACTGGAAGGGCGCCGGGCTGATTTTTAGGGTACCACCCATAAAATAAAAGACTCATCTCGGGGCTTGTTTCTGAAGTTTTAAATAACCAAAGTATGAAATGCTGATTGAAATGTGCTAATGTGGGGCAGTGTGTGTCAATATCATAAAGATTGCCCTATTCAGAATATTTGCCCTGATATCGCATTGGATGCCTTTAAAGTAGGAGCAGCTTGCAAAGTGCGGATGGCATGACTTGTGTACCGCTGGTTTTTATCTGCGTGAATGCTGGCGGTTTGTAGCGCCTGTGCTCATTATAACCGGCCGGTAGCTGGGAGCCGTGCCGAGCACAAAGACACCAGTCAAACCCGCAGGTGGCGGGCTGACCGGATGGTGACAGATCATGTCAAGGATTTGGTCCCAAACCTCACTTTTTACACCGCGCACTCTCTGTTACTAATGAGATATGTACGCCATTATGCCGATAAAATCCCCCGTGTGAATCGTGACAAGTAGAATGGCCGCCTTGTAGGATTTTTGCTTATCCTGTCTCAAAGACATGATTGCTATTCAGTGATTTTTTTTCATTTCATAGAACTGAATACAGATTATTCTCAATTGGCACGAAAACCCTTTAACTTTCATCTATGACCCCAATTTTCTCCTTTGTCCTGTGCGTCTGCTAACAAGGTCTCACTAAACGCACCAATCAATTTTTCACCCTCTGTTTATTCTGAATAGATCTTTTGGCTCACGCTAAGAGGAAATAGGTGCACATTGTGAGATGTAATAGCAGGGGAGGGGTTTAAACCGCGCCAATTAACCGCGCTCACACAGGTGTTCGGCGGGGTACGCTCCGGGCACGGTACGGCACCGCCGCGCCAAACACGTAACGTTCTCTCCAAGCAGAGGTTTGGAGTTTTGTTTATTTTTGGCGTGTTTTTAGACTTTTCTATCAGGGTTTATTTTTTGCACTGGAATTTTTCTTTCACCCTTTTTTATCGGGGTTTCTTTTTTTGCACTAGAAATTTTATTTTACCATTTTGGGTTGGGTGAAAGAAAAATTCCAGTGCAAATAAAAACACGCCAAAAATAACCCCAAACCCAAGAGTACACGTAACGTTCCCGGCCACTGCTGCCTCAGTGTCTACAGCGCTCTGGGCTTAGGGCTATCGGGAACAGGGTCAGATTTATGCATAATATTCGTATACTACTCTTCGAAAAATAGACAAAATGAGTGCATAGAAAAGCGTCCGACCTACAGGATGGCATCAACATGTCAGCCAAGTGCCCATCAGACAGTTTAAATAAGCGTTTTTTTACTCAACCACTGATTTCTATAAAAAGGATGTCATCCGTTATTTCCTCCCTCAGAATATCACGTAAAAGCAGACTTTAATTCATAGGAGAATCGGTAAACAGTGATATTTCTTTGAAACATTGTCATAACTTGCCATTACGACGGTAATACCTACAGGGTCTGAGCTAGCGGGGACTAACACGACCAACAACCACCTGTTCCACCAAAAATGATTTCTCCAGGTTGGTAGTGCATTGGATATTGGGACTTTCTAGTACACAACCGATATGTTTCTCACCTTGCTGACGTTTCCATGCCTCTCAGATACTTTCCTCAGACACTTCTGACCTGTGTACTGCTTTTCGCCGCCTAATTTGGCTACATATAGCGGTGAGGAGCAGTACTCCAGTCAGAAGCTCTGAGGAAGGTGTCTGATAGACATCGAAACATAAGCAATTTTGAGTAAAAGAAAGTCCCCAAATCCTGACCACCTATTCCGTTCCGTAGCTGTGCAGCACGAGCGAGGTCCCAGGAACTCCACCATCAGGAAACAGTTGGCGCAGTACATCAAGGACACGACGCGGGGTGACGCGGCGCCGCCCGCCTGTCCCGCGTTCCTCGGGGCTCCTTACCTGCCGGTCCGCGCGCTGGTGCCCGTGACTCTGGCGGGCGGCTGTGCCCCCGAGTTCAGTCACTCCACAATCTTTCAGCCGGTGCCCAGGGTAGGTTGGAACGGGTTTCTGACGGTGTCCCTACGGTGTGAAGGAAGTCATGTTTTCTGTTAAACCATGGTCCTTATCACGTACAACATATACAGTAATGTACTAGTATACTGTTAGTTTATGTCCACTCCGTTATGCTCAGGTCACAATTCCCACACGGGGCCCGGCCGGGCAGCTTTTGGGAACGAAAAGTACGATATAAAAGACAACAAAGCACAGAGAAGTTGTTAATGACAATCATGGGCACTATTTCTGTATATTCCTGATATGAATTGTTAACTTTGATGCCGTCTGAAAGCTCCTACGCTTACAGAACTTTGTCCTGTGTACTAGTTTTAAATTATTCATTGTACTATGTTAATTTTTCGTTCATACAAACAGCCCGATGCGACCGGGCCCCGGTTTGGAAATGTGAGCTAAGCATTAGGCCATGTTGATTTGATTATATGGATGACATCCTCTGGGAACCCCAAAACTGATGCGCACGTGCGAATAAAAAAAAAGTTTTGCAAAAAAAAAGTTGCTTTCACTATGAAATCTACGTGGTCATGAAGGTTGAACAAATGGCACAGAATATGTTATGGCGAATAATCTACTCTTCGAATTCATTTCTTTACATTTTTGTCTTTTTTCCTTTTGTATTTTTGGTC